AATAGAATTTAAAATCCTCCTTAAAGCCCTAAATAATCAAACTATCTGATTTTAATTCAGTTAAAAAATAAATACTTTATTAATCCCAGAAGGAAATTAAATCGTGTTGTAGTAACTCATACTTTTTTTAAACGAGTATTTGTTTATATTAATAGCTGTGAACAGGAACTATCTCTTGCAGCTTTCAGTAGATCTGTATCATTGCAGTGATAGGATATTTGTAATATAAAAAAAATAATAATGAAAAAACATTTTACTACTTGCATTGAAATGGAACCTTACATTCTCTGATATAAAGAAATAAAAAAATTAACAATTTACCCAGATAAGCCTAAGGGTCTATAGGCTATGTGTTTTTCTGCCTAAGTTTTAACAGATTTCCTTCTCATAAAGTGTTTTTTTTTCACTTGAGCTCAAAGCTCTAACATTAATTTATTTATCTGTTGTGCCATCCTATTCAACTCTCTAAAAGAAAAATAATTGTATAACCAAGCGAAAAAGAATTGAAGTTTCATTTTTTTAAGTCTAGGATAAAGCATTGCTGTTGCAGTGATCCTCCTATCCTGCAGGTGGCAGTAAAGATTTCCAGCGCTCGATGCCTCCGCCGCCAAAATGCTCATTTCACAGAAGAAATATTTTGCTTTTCGGAAGAAGAGCCCAACAAAGCGGCCCTGCTTATTTTCAACCAGAAAAGTGACAAAAATAATATTATTGCGAACCGAAGATGTACGCCAGGACAAACGCGGGCAGCACACATGGGGACTTTCAGGACAGAAACGGAGTGAACTACGTTTCGTCGACAGAGTCTTTCGGCCACTGCTCTCAATTGTTCTGGAAAAAGGACCCGAACGATTCCGGAGTAAGAAAGCCAGTTGTTCCCCCTCCGTTAGCTAGCCAACTCAAGCCGCAAACACGCAGCCAGCAGCGGCGGAGACTCGCGCTGTTCATCCAGCAGTGACTGAAGTATTTGTTATCACACCGATAGTGTCCCTGCAGTGAAGTCCTGGCTTTTAACGCCGGTGCATCTCTGCCAGTAGCGCTGCAGTAGCCTCGCGAGCATCCGGCTAACCTAGCAACCGTCACGCTGAGCGCCTCCTGGCCTAGTTTGACCGTTAGCTGCTGGCTGCTCCCAGGCAGGCTAGCTGCTTTATCCACAAACTGCTCTAGATATCTGCATGAACGTTGAAGCGCGGTGCTATAAATGTGCAGCGAAAGGATGTGAAATTATGACAGCTTTGACATAACAACAGAGGAGACCTTTAGCTTAGCTAAAGCTAATGTTGGATACAGCTTTCTTTAGCCAAACATGAAGTATTGAAGGCAGAATGTTCTCTGCTGAACCTCTTCTGATGGTTTCTTTGCCAGAATCAGGAGGTTCTGCTGAAATCTGACTCCTGGATCCATTTAAAGGGCAAAATAAACACGCAGGTGGATGTGTTAAAGCCCCCTGTGACTCTGTTCATTCATGGCCGGGTTCTACTCACAGAACATCTGGACTCACTGACACCAGAGCTGAGTTTATTCCAGATAAGTGGAAGAAACTTCTGCTAATAGATCATATTTTGGAGAAGAGGGATATTTCCACTGAAAAATCAACTGACTTTATCCACCAGGCTACATAAGGAGAAATCCTTATGTGACACAGATTGAGAATAAATATAATTTATTAAGTGCATTTAATACAGATCTAGATGAAGGGATAACTGTTGTTCACATCTGTTAACTCAGGTTCCACCAGCTGTTTTCTTTTTCTTTAATTTCTTCTCTTCATGCCCCCAAACCCCCTCCTGGTTTATAGATATTAAACCCCACCTCCAGGTTATTACTGGATCTGGGCCTGCTTAAAGCTAAATATTCACCAAAAGAAACAAAACTTTCCAGTAAATTTGACCGTCCAGGTTTTTTTTCCCCCGAAGGAAGCAGTTTCTTCAGGCTGGAAAAAAAGAGAAATCCAGAAGAAACTTCCAACCTTGACTGAGACCTGGACCGGTGTTCTGTCAGACCAGCATCCCTATAATCAATAGACGTCAGGTTTGCGTTTATCCCTTTAGTTTTGTACGTAAAATAGACTTGTAACTACCTTGTAACGGGCATGTTTACCTTTAGTCATGTACAAAAAAGCTATTGAAGGTCAGATCTCCATACGCTACAAAAAATACCAAAAAGTAATACATTTTTTTGTACACGACTAAAGGATACACACCCATCGAGGTAGTTAAAATTCTATTTTATGTACAAAACTAAAGAGATCAACGGGGATTGACTCTGGGTATGCTGGTCTGACAGAACGCCGGTTCGGTTCAGGGGCTGTCAGATTTGTTTTGGGGGACCCACATCCTCCACTGCACCCTTCATGCTGGCCATGCTGGTTGTCATGGCGCTCTGTATTTCTTCGGGTTGTATCTGTCAGTGAAATCCTGATGGTCCAGATGTGGTTCTGTGGGAAGGTCATGAGCAGGTAGCTTTCTGTCTTCAATCTGTCCAGATACAGGAGCTAAAGGTAGCAGAACATCAGATTTATGTGGAGAGCAAAGTGTTTTTATTAGACCTCAACAGTTTTCATATTGTTTTAGGAAACAGTTTATGAACCTTTGTAAATATTTGATTCATTGTAGATAGATATTACATGTCTTTATTTTGCTGGGAAATTATCACACTCTTTTGTGACACCAGCTATCTCAAGACTGGAGTTCTTCAACAGGGGGTCCGTGACCTCTAGGGGGTCCGCGACGGTACTGCATGGGGGTCGCAAAAGTTTTGATTAGACTTGTTTTTTTATTCCCTCCTGCAATTTTTTCCACTAATTGAAATGTCTTTAAATCCACATTAACATGAATTCAACACACTGTAGTAAACAGATAAATGGAGGCAGAAGATGTCTTTCAATCAATGCTCACATTCAGCGACACACAGGAGCTCTTTAAGCTGGACACCGTTTCATTCACAACACCTGTCCCATTAACCAGGAATCAGAAATACTTTAATAATCCCAGGGAGGGATTACTTTAGTTACATTACTCCATCTGTAATAGAGTGACTATAGGACCAGTTTGATAGAACACTATTTCATACTATATATATAATTAGGGGGTCCCCGCTCCATCTCGGCATCAGTTTGGGGTCCTTGGCCTGGAAAACGTTGAAGACCCCTGTTATAGATATTATATAGTGTGTATTTTTTTCATCAGGTTAATATTGTTTTATTTTCTAGCTCTAATTAAAGGAAGATTGAAGCAGCCAGAGTCTGCTCAGAGTTTGCTCAGCGGTTCTTAGGCCAGCACATTCAGTATCGCACTGAAATGCATTTTTCCGTTTCAATGTTTTCCGTGTTGTCGGTCGCCTATCAGCCACCGTACTTTAGGTTAAACAGCAGCTCATCCTCTCCGAGAATGCCTCTGGTTTGTGGACAGAAACAAACTCTTTCCTCCACACTTTTAGTTATAGAAATACACGTTTCAAGGTTTTTTGTTTTTAGACAAGAGCAAATTATAACTGATGCATCTAATGAGATATTTGTGAAGAGCTCCTATTGCTGTAAGCAGTGTTTGGTTATTAAATTATTCATCTATACTGTGTGTGCTCCCAGGATGGAGAGGAATCACTAGTAGGTCTGCAGTTAACGGTGCGAAACCAGAACCGAACCCGTTCTAGTTAATTCTGTGTTCTTTACAGCAGGGCTGTCAGGAAAGGACAGATGTAGCAGGAAATAAGCTTATGATTTAAATAATTTCTTAAATCTGCAAATATCTACCAGTTTAAACTGAAAAACGATCTAAAAATAAGTAAACATTTCTGAAGATGAGTGTAATTGTCACTCATCTTAGCAGCTAAAGAAAATGATCTGCTAATGAGTATTTCAGCCTTGAAGAAGAATAATTATTTTTAGATATTATACACTTGTGATCTGATAATGGAGTTTTGTTTCGGTCGGGGGCGGCAGTGCGCTGCGGTCATGACAGGCCGAGCGGCGGTGAGCTGCGAGGGTCGCCCAACGCTACTTCAATGGGGCTGTGTTTTTATTTTATTCCAATGTCCGTTTGTTTTTTAATATCTTCTCAAATCAAGCATGAATGCTTTTTGTTTAGTTTTTTTTTTTCAAAGAGAAATTGCCTTAGATTTTACTGTTGGTTGCGTTTGAGCAAGCTAAACAATAATGAGCAAAATTTAAATCAAACAATCACATTATAAACCCTTTGTTTCAAACTTGTGGGGAGTGGCGGCCTCGTGGTTAGGGCATACGAACCCCACTCCCACAGACTGTCACTCTGGGTCTCTGAGCAAGACCCTTAACCCCACACTGCTGCCTGGGCGCCGCACAATGGCGGCACACTGCTCCCCAAGGGGAGGGGTTAAATGCGAGAGGGAATATCTCCAATGTGAGTTCAATAAAGTTTAATTATTATTGTTATAAACTAAATGCAGAATCAAAGGCTACATTCAAACAAACTAATCATTTTAAAACATGTTGGAAGGTGTGTCAGCTCCCTTAGGTTCTTGGTCTGTTCTTGATGGGCTCCGTTAGCTTTATCTGGCTGCTAGCTCCTCTAGCCGCTGATGGAACTGGTTGGAACCGGTCTGTGGAGTAGCGGGTTCCCAGCTTAGCTCCGTAACAGCAGTAACCTCATCACATTTAGCCGCGGGAAAAGAAAACATCGATACTTCCTGTGTCGCACTGAGAGAGGTTTAGGATCGTATTTTGACGTTCTGACAGGCGCTTCCACGTTGAGCATCATGTTACCTCTGTCAGTAGCTGGTTAATTAGCTTGGTTGCTACTATGTTCAGCTAATGTTGCTCCTTAAGAGGCCACTGAACTCATCTGTTTGAGGTGTTTCCTGCTGATTTGTCCCTGAAATCAGGAATGATGTTTTGCTGAAATCATCTGGACATTATCCCTACAAGACATTTTCTTTGGGCGAATGTTTAGTTTTTAAATATCCTGCCTGCTTTGTCTTAAAAGCTGTTCTTTAAAAATCTAAAACACTTTGCGTAAAGGTTGCCCCGCCTCCCGGGTGACCAGGACCAATCAGAGGACAGTTTTCTTGCTCTGATGTTCTTCTGTCTTCTTTTCCAGCCGAGTTCTGCCATCAGCTGGTGCGACCAGCTGCCTCCGTCCTCTGCTGCCCTCTCCAGCTCCAGTCTCTCCTCCACGTCGCTCTCCAGCTCCAGTCTCTCCATGGAGTCCAGAGCACCGGCGCCTCCTCCCCCGCCGCCGCCGACCACGACGGCCTCCGACGACACGGAGTCAGACGAGAGGCCGTACGTCTGCGACCTGTGCAGCTGCGCCTACAAGCACGCTAGCTCGCTCCTCAACCACAAGCTCACCCACAAGACGGGAGACTTCAAGTGAGCGTTCAAGGCTCCTTGCTTTTCACCTGCCTCTACTTTTGGGTTTTCTCTAAACTGTTGCCGTGTTTTCCTCAGATGCGACTTCTGCAGCAAGCCCTACACCAACTACATGTCCCTACGCAACCACATGCGAATCCACGGTCAGAAACGCTACATGTGCGACCTCTGCGGGAAGGCCTTCCGCCTGGCGCGGTACCTAAGGAACCATCAGAGGATACACGACGACGGGCCCAACCGCTTCGACTGTCCGTCCTGCTGCAAAAGCTACAGGACCATGCTGGAGCTGGCGCAGCACCGCTGCAGCGCCGCCGCCTCCAACCAGGTACGTCTCTGGAAGGTAGCACCGCCAGCGGCGAGGGATTGATTAATGATACCCGTGATGTCATGCTTATGAGTGTCGGTTCAGAACGAGGAGCAGCCACCATGTTTCTGAGTGATCCAGCAGCTTCATGTCCGAACGCCCAACGCCGTCACAACCCAAAGCTTAACGATTTGGGCTGGTCGATTAATTATATAAGCCATATATAACAGCAACATTTTGGGTTGTTTCACTTTTATGAGAGTAAAACTATCATTCTAACTGCCCTCCAGGTGGCTGCAAACAAAAAAATATATATTTTTGGCATAATCAGGTGATCTTAAGCGCCGACTGGCTTTGCTTTCATCCTCAGGCGAGTCTGAAACGTCTTTCTGTTTCAGAATTGAGCTGAAAAATGTGAACCTGTTGGTTTTTATAAAGAAACGTCTTTAATGCTACGTTCAGTCCGCACGCAGCAGAAGCGGCTAGTTTATATGCAAAGTCAATGGCTGACGTGCATCAAGGCGCAGCCAAACGTCCCGCAGCGCCTCATTCTGACCATCTGATGCGCTTCACAAGCCGCAGCTGCTGGAATTGGAGAAATTAAGCTTTTGGTGCAAAACACGCCGCATCAACCAATCAGAGAAGCTGATCTGGGAGCTGGCAGGGAGAAAGACACAGCACTGCTGATTAATTAGGATGTTATAGGAAATAAAAACTGACTAGCTAGCTTCATATTTCTGATTCTTTGCTAATTCTAAAGGCAAATAAAATAAAGGAAACTTATATTATTTAATATGTAAGCAATATTAGCCTCAGCATTAACTCTCTGCCTTTAATTGGCCCACCGGTCATCATGCTTTAAGTTAACCAATGTAATCAGTAATGCTACGTTCAGACACCCCGCGATAGAGGCAGCAGAAGCAGCAGGTCTACATGCAGAGTCTGGTTGATGCACATCAGAAGGACCTGTGGCGCGTTTGGAGCAGCAGAAGCAGCGCATCTTGGCGTGTCGAAAAATTAAACGCTTGCTGCTGGACGTGCCACATTAACCAATCAGAGAAGCTGATCTGGGAGCTGGCAGGGAGTCAGACACAGCACTGCTGATGCAGAGCGCTATGATCACTCCTCTGAAACAGTTTAACGCCTAAATTAACTTAAATTGATTAAATCTGCCCTCAAAAAAAAGGTTTGCTAGTGTCTGCAGTTTGGTTTACCTACATGAAAAACGTCTTCCAGCTGCGGTAAACAGTAGTGGAAAACCCCCAACGGGCGACCCGGCCAGAAGCTGTTGGTGCTGGGGATTCCAAGTGACGCACCGCCGCCGGTGTGTGGGGGTCTGAGTGGCTCCTGCAGAAAAATAATATTTGAAGGCAGGATAGTAATCTGGATTAACTGACGGCGCAGACCATGTTTGCAGGAGGACTTTCTCACTTAAAGGAATAGTACACCCAAAACATGATTAGCCTTCATTTTCTACTCCCCCCCATGCTGAA